TCGTCGTAGTTGTAGTTGCAGTAGTAGTCGTAGTATTAGTAGTAATCGTACCTACAGTAGTAGTCGTAGTAGTAATCGTAGTAGTAGTAGTAGTAGTAGTAGTAGTAGCAGCAATAATAGTAGTAGTTTTAGTAGTAGTAGTAGTAGTAGTTGTAGTAGCAGTAGTAGTAGTAGTAGTAGTAGTGGTAGTGGTAGTATGAGTAATACTAGGTAGTCCTAGCTGTAGTCGTAGTAGTAGTAGTAGTAGTAGTAGTAGTAGTAGTTGTAGTAGTAGTAGTAGTAGTAGTAGTAGTAGTAGTAGTAGTAGTTGTAGTAGTGTTAGTACTAGTAGTAGTGGTAGTCGTAGAATGAGTAGTAGCACTCGTAGTTGTAATAGTCGTAGTCGTCGTAATAGTAGTAGTAGTAGCAGTAGTAGTAGTAGTAAGAGTAGTAGTAGTAGTAGAAGTAGTAGTAGTAGTCGTAGCAGTAGTAGTAGTAGTCGTAGTCGTAATAGTAGTAGTAGTAGTAGAAGTAGTAGTAGTAGTAGTAGTAGTAGTAGTAGTAGCAGCAGTAGTAGTAGTAGTAGTAGTAGTAGTAATAGTAGTAGTAGTAGGTAGTAGTAGTATCAATAGTTGTAGTAGTCGTAGTAGTAGTAGTAGTCGTAGTAGTAGTAGTAGTAGTAGTAGTAGTTGTAGTAGTAGTAGGAGTAGTAGTAGTAGTAGTAGTAGTAGTGGAAGTAGTAGTAGAAGCTGTAGTAGTAGTAGTAGTCGTAGTAGTAGTAGAAGTAGTAGTAGTAGTAGTAGTCGTAGTAGTAGTAGTAGTAGTAGTAGTAGTAGTAGTAAGTAGTAGTAGTAGTCGTAGTCGGTAGTAGTAGTAGTAGTAGTAGTAGTAGTAGTGTAGTAGTAGGTAGTAGTAGTAGTAATAGTAGTGGTAAGTAGTAGTAGTAGTAGTAGTAGTAGTAGTTGTAGTAGTAGTAGTAGTTAGTAGTAGTAGTAGTAGTAGTAGTAGTAGTAGTAGTAGTAGTAGTAGTAGTAGTAGTAGTAGTGGTAGTAGTAGTAGTAGTCGTAGTAGTCGTAGTAGTCGTAGTAGTCTTAGGTAGTAGTAGTAGTAGTAGTAGTAGTAGTAGTAGTAGTAGTAGTAGTAGTAGTGTGGTTGGTGGTGGTGGTAGTGGTAGTGGTAGTGGTAGTGGTAGTGGTAGTGGTAGTGGTAGTGGTAGTGGTAGTGGTAGTGGTAGTGGTAGTGGTAGTGGTAGTGGTAGTGGTAGTGGTAGTGGTAGTAGCAGTATTAGTAGATGTTGTTGTGCAGTAGTGGATGTAGTAATCGTCGTAGAAGTAGTAGCACTATCAGTAGGAGCAGCAGTAAAAGTCGAAATCAAATGCATTTGCCCTCCCAGCCAGCCAGTCCAACCCACCCACCCAGCCCATTCAGCCCAACCAGCCAAACCAGCCGAACCAGCCCAACCAGCCACCCCGCCACCCCGCCACCCAGCCCAACCAGGCCCAACCAGCCCAACCGGCCACCCCGCCACCCTACCAACCCGCCCACCCACGCCTCCTGCCCTCCGACACCGCCGAGAGGGGGGGGAAGTGTTCCTCATCAGCGAAAACCCGAAAACTAGCCCTCCCGGGGACCGGCGGGACAGCGAGGAGGGAGCAAATCGCATCGTACTATGCAGGACCGGGATTTCGGCGGGGGTCCGCAAAGTCGGTTTTGGGCCTCAAGCATGACTCTGTCGTCATTTTTCAACGTACACCGCGCCCTCTTTCTCAACGGGAAGGCTCACATCCTTGAAACCGTCGTCAATTTTGAGGCCCCCCGCGTGGTTTCTCAGAGAGCCGCCAGGAGGCTCCAGGAGGCCCCTGGAGGCCCCGGGAAACTCCAGGAGATTTCAAGACGCCCCAGGAGGCCAATGGAATCCCCAGGAGGGTCTAGGACGCCCCAGGAGGTCTCAAGATGCCCCGCGTGGTCCCACGAGGCTTCAGGAGGTCCCAGGACGCTCCGGGCGCATCCTGAACGATCCAAATAGTCCAAGAATGCTTCGAGACGCCCCCTGGATGGCTTCGGATACCCTAGGAGACTTCAAAACCTTTTCAAGAGGCCGCAGGAGATCCCCAGAGGTTGCTGTCCAGGAGACCCTTGGGATTTCGCGGAAGCTCCATGAGGTCCCATGGTCCATCACGCCCGAGGTAGGGAGGGGGAGGCGGAGGAGGAGCAGGACGTGGAGGAGGAGGGTGAGGAGGAGGAAAAGGAGGAAGAGGAGGAGGAGGACGACGAGAAGCAGGATGACGAGGAAGAGGATGACGAGGAGGAGGGCCAGGATGGTGAGCAAAGAGGGCAGGTGCCCAAAGCGGGCGCACTGTGGCGCGCCTCGTTCCCTTCGTATTCCTTCATGCATATATGTCATGTTCGAAGTTCGTTTGTTCATGCTTGTTGAAAGCCAAACGACCCGAAATAATCAGTAACGTTTCATACAAGATGCGCATATATGCAAATTATAGCGAATACCAATGAAACGGCCCAGCGGCAAACATTCAGAACACAGCATTATGTTGTGTATTCTTTTGTTTTGATAACGTGTCGGAAA